GAAGAGAAAAAGGTGGATACAAGGAAGCATGCGAGGGAAGAGAAAAAGGTGGATACAAGGAAGCATGCGAGGGAAGAGAAAAAGGTGGATACAAGGAAGCATGCGAGGGAAGAGAAAAAGGTGGATACAAGGAAGCATGCGAGGGAAGAGAAAAAGGTGGATACAAGGAAGCATGCGAGGGAAGAGAAAAAGGTGGATACAAGGAAGCATGCGAGGGAAGAGAAAAAGGTGGATACAAGGAAGCATGCGAGGGAAGAGAAAAAGGTGGATACAAGGAAGCATGCGAGGGAAGAGAAAAAGGTGGATACAAGGAAGCATGCGAGGGAAGAGAAAAAGGTGGATACAAGGAAGCATGCGAGGGAAGAGAAAAAGGTGGATACAAGGAAGCATGCGAGGGAAGAGAAAAAGGTGGATACAAGGAAGCATGCGAGGGAAGAGAAAAAGGTGGATACAAGGAAGCATGCGAGGGAAGAGAAAAAGGTGGATACAAGGAAGCATGCGAGGGAAGAGAAAAAGGTGGATACAAGGAAGCATGCGAGGGAAGAGAAAAAGGTGGATACAAGGAAGCATGCGAGGGAAGAGAAAAAGGTGGATACAAGGAAGCATGCGAGGGAAGAGAAAAAGGTGGATACAAGGAAGCATGCGAGGGAAGAGAAAAAGGTGGATACAAGGAAGCATGCGAGGGAAGAGAAAAAGGTGGATACAAGGAAGCATGCGAGGGAAGAGAAAAAGGTGGATACAAGGAAGCATGCGAGGGAAGAGAAAAAGGTGGATACAAGGAAGCATGCGAGGGAAGAGAAAAAGGTGGATACAAGGAAGCATGCGAGGGAAGAGAAAAAGGTGGATACAAGGAAGCATGCGAGGGAAGAGAAAAAGGTGGATACAAGGAAGCATGCGAGGGAAGAGAAAAAGGTGGATACAAGGAAGCATGCGAGGGAAGAGAAAAAGGTGGATACAAGGAAGCATGCGAGGGAAGAGAAAAAGGTGGATACAAGGAAGCATGCGAGGGAAGAGAAAAAGGTGGATACAAGGAAGCATGCGAGGGAAGAGAAAAAGGTGGATACAAGGAAGCATGCGAGGGAAGAGAAAAAGGTGGATACAAGGAAGCATGCGAGGGAAGAGAAAAAGGTGGATACAAGGAAGCATGCGAGGGAAGAGAAAAAGGTGGATACAAGGAAGCATGCGAGGGAAGAGAAAAAGGTGGATACAAGGAAGCATGCGAGGGAAGAGAAAAAGGTGGATACAAGGAAGCATGCGAGGGAAGAGAAAAAGGTGGATACAAGGAAGCATGCGAGGGAAGAGAAAAAGGTGGATACAAGGAAGCATGCGAGGGAAGAGAAAAAGGTGGATACAAGGAAGCATGCGAGGGAAGAGAAAAAGGTGGATACAAGGAAGCATGCGAGGGAAGAGAAAAAGGTGGATACAAGGAAGCATGCGAGGGAAGAGAAAAAGGTGGATACAAGGAAGCATGCGAGGGAAGAGAAAAAGGTGGATACAAGGAAGCATGCGAGGGAAGAGAAAAAGGTGGATACAAGGAAGCATGCGAGGGAAGAGAAAAAGGTGGATACAAGGAAGCATGCGAGGGAAGAGAAAAAGGTGGATACAAGGAAGCATGCGAGGGAAGAGAAAAAGGTGGATACAAGGAAGCATGCGAGGGAAGAGAAAAAGGTGGATACAAGGAAGCATGCGAGGGAAGAGAAAAAGGTGGATACAAGGAAGCATGCGAGGGAAGAGAAAAAGGTGGATACAAGGAAGCATGCGAGGGAAGAGAAAAAGGTGGATACAAGGAAGCATGCGAGGGAAGAGAAAAAGGTGGATACAAGGAAGCATGCGAGGGAAGAGAAAAAGGTGGATACAAGGAAGCATGCGAGGGAAGAGAAAAAGGTGGATACAAGGAAGCATGCGAGGGAAGAGAAAAAGGTGGATACAAGGAAGCATGCGAGGGAAGAGAAAAAGGTGGATACAAGGAAGCATGCGAGGGAAGAGAAAAAGGTGGATACAAGGAAGCATGCGAGGGAAGAGAAAAAGGTGGATACAAGGAAGCATGCGAGGGAAGAGAAAAAGGTGGATACAAGGAAGCATGCGAGGGAAGAGAAAAAGGTGGATACAAGGAAGCATGCGAGGGAAGAGAAAAAGGTGGATACAAGGAAGCATGCGAGGGAAGAGAAAAAGGTGGATACAAGGAAGCATGCGAGGGAAGAGAAAAAGGTGGATACAAGGAAGCATGCGAGGGAAGAGAAAAAGGTGGATACAAGGAAGCATGCGAGGGAAGAGAAAAAGGTGGATACAAGGAAGCATGCGAGGGAAGAGAAAAAGGTGGATACAAGGAAGCATGCGAGGGAAGAGAAAAAGGTGGATACAAGGAAGCATGCGAGGGAAGAGAAAAAGGTGGATACAAGGAAGCATGCGAGGGAAGAGAAAAGGTGGATACAAGGAAGCATGCGAGGGAAGAGAAAAAGGTGGATACAAGGAAGCATGCGAGGGAAGAGAAAAAGGTGGATACAAGGAAGCATGCGAGGGAAGAGAAAAAGGTGGATACAAGGAAGCATGCGAGGGAAGAGAAAAAGGTGGATACAAGGAAGCATGCGAGGGAAGAGAAAAAGGTGGATACAAGGAAGCATGCGAGGGAAGAGAAAAAGGTGGATACAAGGAAGCATGCGAGGGAAGAGAAAAAGGTGGATACAAGGAAGCATGCGAGGGAAGAGAAAAAGGTGGATACAAGGAAGCATGCGAGGGAAGAGAAAAAGGTGGATACAAGGAAGCATGCGAGGGAAGAGAAAAAGGTGGATACAAGGAAGCATGCGAGGGAAGAGAAAAAGGTGGATACAAGGAAGCATGCGAGGGAAGAGAAAAAGGTGGATACAAGGAAGCATGCGAGGGAAGAGAAAAAGGTGGATACAAGGAAGCATGCGAGGGAAGAGAAAAAGGTGGATACAAGGAAGCATGCGAGGGAAGAGAAAAAGGTGGATACAAGGAAGCATGCGAGGGAAGAGAAAAAGGTGGATACAAGGAAGCATGCGAGGGAAGAGAAAAAGGTGGATACAAGGAAGCATGCGAGGGAAGAGAAAAAGGTGGATACAAGGAAGCATGCGAGGGAAGAGAAAAAGGTGGATACAAGGAAGCATGCGAGGGAAGAGAAAAAGGTGGATACAAGGAAGCATGCGAGGGAAGAGAAAAAGGTGGATACAAGGAAGCATGCGAGGGAAGAGAAAAAGGTGGATACAAGGAAGCATGCGAGGGAAGAGAAAAAGGTGGATACAAGGAAGCATGCGAGGGAAGAGAAAAAGGTGGATACAAGGAAGCATGCGAGGGAAGAGAAAAAGGTGGATACAAGGAAGCATGCGAGGGAAGAGAAAAAGGTGGATACAAGGAAGCATGCGAGGGAAGAGAAAAAGGTGGATACAAGGAAGCATGCGAGGGAAGAGAAAAAGGTGGATACAAGGAAGCATGCGAGGGAAGAGAAAAAGGTGGATACAAGGAAGCATGCGAGGGAAGAGAAAAAGGTGGATACAAGGAAGCATGCGAGGGAAGAGAAAAAGGTGGATACAAGGAAGCATGCGAGGGAAGAGAAAAAGGTGGATACAAGGAAGCATGCGAGGGAAGAGAAAAAGGTGGATACAAGGAAGCATGCGAGGGAAGAGAAAAAGGTGGATACAAGGAAGCATGCGAGGGAAGAGAAAAAGGTGGATACAAGGAAGCATGCGAGGGAAGAGAAAAAGGTGGATACAAGGAAGCATGCGAGGGAAGAGAAAAAGGTGGATACAAGGAAGCATGCGAGGGAAGAGAAAAGGTGGATACAAGGAAGCATGCGAGGGAAGAGAAAAAGGTGGATACAAGGAAGCATGCGAGGGAAGAGAAAAAGGTGGATACAAGGAAGCATGCGAGGGAAGAGAAAAAGGTGGATACAAGGAAGCATGCGAGGGAAGAGAAAAAGGTGGATACAAGGAAGCATGCGAGGGAAGAGAAAAAGGTGGATACAAGGAAGCATGCGAGGGAAGAGAAAAAGGTGGATACAAGGAAGCATGCGAGGGAAGAGAAAAAGGTGGATACAAGGAAGCATGCGAGGGAAGAGAAAAAGGTGGATACAAGGAAGCATGCGAGGGAAGAGAAAAAGGTGGATACAAGGAAGCATGCGAGGGAAGAGAAAAAGGTGGATACAAGGAAGCATGCGAGGGAAGAGAAAAAGGTGGATACAAGGAAGCATGCGAGGGAAGAGAAAAAGGTGGATACAAGGAAGCATGCGAGGGAAGAGAAAAAGGTGGATACAAGGAAGCATGCGAGGGAAGAGAAAAAGGTGGATACAAGGAAGCATGCGAGGGAAGAGAAAAAGGTGGATACAAGGAAGCATGCGAGGGAAGAGAAAAAGGTGGATACAAGGAAGCATGCGAGGGAAGAGAAAAAGGTGGATACAAGGAAGCATGCGAGGGAAGAGAAAAAGGTGGATACAAGGAAGCATGCGAGGGAAGAGAAAAAGGTGGATACAAGGAAGCATGCGAGGGAAGAGAAAAAGGTGGATACAAGGAAGCATGGGAGGGAGCGAGGGAGGGAGTAGGGAGAAGAGGAGGAGAGAAGAAGGCAGTGGGAGTTGGACAGGAGGGGAGTGAAGGGAGATGACAAGGCGTAGGGGGGGGGAGGGAGCAGGAGGGGGTGCCTTGAAATCGGCGTCGTTGGCTTCAAGCAGCGCAGCGGTGGAGTGCTGACCGAAGAAGACGGTGCGTGAGAGGAGAGATGTGTCCCTGTAGCTCATGCGCATGTGCAGATGTGCCAGCACATGCACACACACATGCACGCACAGATGCACGCACGGATGCACGCACATGCATGCGCATGTACACAGATGCACACAAATGCATGCATACACATGCATGCTCGCATGCATACAGGTGCGACCAGATCCAATACAACACATAGCTCTTGTTGACGAATCGGGTAAGGAGGTGCGTATCTAGCCGCACACACTTGCACATAATAGAGACGACACTAGTGCATGCATGCTCACATTACAGCAGCGCACAGAGGCTCACATGAGGGCATCGATCCTGTCCTGAGTGAGTCTGATCTCCTGGCACGTCTGCTCCTCCCCCTCCACCTCCAACCGCAACGCTGAACGCCGGCTGCACGGGCACCAGGGGCAGACAAAGGGAGGGGAAGGAGGGAAGAGGGAAAGAGGACATGAGGTTTTGAGCAGGAGAGTGGGAGGAGAAGCGTGAAGGGGCATGCAGTCCGGGCCTCGGCCCTCCTCTCTTTCTTCCAAGCACCACCACACGTCCTCCCCCCACCCACCTGCACGCCTCCCTCTCCACCCACCTGCACGCCTCCCTCTCCACCACAAACGCCTTGCCATTCACCCTCCCCTCCACCCGCACGCGCGCCACCCCCACTCCTCCGCCCTCCCCATTCCTCCTCCTCCCGCGCCCCTCCCCCGCGCCCCCCTCGCCCCCTTCCCCCTGGCCGCTGCGGTGCACGACATCGGCCATGCGCAGGCCTTGGCGCGAGTCAGGGCGAGCGTCCATGCTGCCGGTGAGCGCCCACAGCGCCGCCATGGCCAGCGACGTCTTGCCCGCCCCGTTGCTGTCCCCCGCCGCCCCCCTCGCCACCTCGTTGCGCCCACACAGCAGCACGATGCCGCGCGCGGCGAGGGGGTAGGAGGTGGGCGCGAGGAATGGGCCGAAGCCACTCAGATGCACCACGTCCACACTCACGTGCGCTGGAGGAAAGGGGAGGTGAGGGAGTGGTGGCAGGGGATTGGGATGGGAATAGTGGAACAATGAATGGGAGTGGACTAAAGGGGAGGAAATAGGGAAAAGAGGGAGGGAGGAAATGAAGGGGCAAAGAAGAGAGGGTGATCGGGAGAAGGCCTTCCAGGCATCCATGGCAGCACAGCTCCTCCCATTTCCCCACTCCCCTGCTCTCACCACTGCTGCTGTGCATGAGTCTGGGCGGCACATCCAGGTCCTTGAGCAAGTCTTGGGCGGCAGACAGCACGGGTGGGGGCAGATGGGCGGCAGTGGCGTAGCTGGCAAACACCCGTGAGGGCTCCTGGGAGAGAGGATGGGGGAGGGGGTTACTGATGCAGATGGAAGAGAAAGGGAAGCTGCAGAGATGAGGGGAGGAGTGAATGATGGGAAGTTGCAGAAATAGGGGGTGGGTTGATTGAACGACAGGCACGTGCCATTCTCCCCATCCATAATATCGTGTGTGCCTCGCTCACCCTGCCTGCACTCTCTTCCTCTCTCACCCTGCCCGTCCATCCGTGTGTCAACCCCTGTCACCTCCACCCACCCACCAGCGTGTCGGCCTGCAGGATGCGGGGCGGGCGGGAGAGAGCCTGCGATGCCACCGTCTGCACGAGTGCGCCCGTGGCACGCAAACACGCCTGCAGGGTGGGGCGGGGGGGAAAAGACATGACAAGGCCACGGCCGTGGTGGGCTGTGAGTGCAATTAGAGCGCCCTTTGACGTGTGACGTGTGACGTGTGGCGTGTGGCGTGTGGCGTGTGGCGTGTGGCGTGTGGCGTGTGGCGTGTGGCGTGTGGCGTGTGACGTGTGACGTGTGGCGTGTGGCGTGTGGCGTGTGGCATGAGCAGAGGTGCAAAGCTCAGCGGTGCCATGTGCCATGGGGCATGTGATGGCCGGTACCAGGGCCTCGGGTCTGCTCCTCACCAGTGCGCCTCTGGTGTCCTTGGCGCCCGCCCCTCCAGGCACCTCCCATCGCACCAGGTCGCCCGCCCGCAGCTGCGCCACCACCTGCTGCCACCCCTCGCCTGCCTGCCACTCCGACTCTCCTTCACCTTCACCCGGCTGTGAGGCTGATGCAGCGGTGGGGATGATGAAGTGGCGCGGCCCCACGTCCAGGGGGATATCCTCCACGTGCTCCCACGTCCCGCCCCCCAGCACCATAGCGCGCTTGCTCTGCCCCGCCTCCCCGAAGCTGTGCTGCAAGCACGACCCCACGTAGTGCACAGCGCGCCCACCCCTGGCCACGGTGTGCGGCAGGTGCAGGTGCCCCGAGTACACGGGCAGGCCCGGTGGCAGCAGCAGCGGATCCAGCCCCTCGCCTGGCAGCGTGATGGCGCCCTCCACACTGCTGCGCCGCGCCCCCTCCACGTCGGCGTGCATGAACACGGCGCGGATGGGCGGGGCGGAGGGCGGGGGGGCGTGCAGCGCTTGGTGCATGGCGGAGGTGAGGAGGGGGGCGTGGTGGCGGAAGGGCAGCCAGAGGGCGGCGAGCAGCACGGTGGGGTTTGAGAGCACCACGATGTGCGGGTTGATGCGCGCCAGCACTGCCAGCGCGTGCTGTGTGCCGTCCACTGACACCTGGCCGGGAGGAGAGGGACGAGGCGGCAAGAGTGGCGGATGTGCGACCAGGGTGAGGGGAAGGGAGAGGAGAGAGGGAATGGCTAGAAATGAAGGCAGGGAGAGAGGCAGGAGGCAGAAAGGAGCAAATCGGATGAAGAGAGCAGCAGCATGGCAGGGGCGATGTAGTGGCACCTGGTCGTGGTTGCCGGGGATCATGATGGTGGGTTGAGTCCACACGGCGGGCCCCATGGCTTGCATGACAGCATTGAGTGCCTCCACTGGCAGCGACCCCCTCACATGCCAGAAGTCGCCAAGACACACCACGCCCGCTGCCCTGCCATGCCATACCAATGATACCATGCCATGTCATGTCATACCATGCCATGTCATGCCATACCATGCCATGCCATCGAGACACAAGGCTGTGATATTTTCACAAACCAATGCCAAATCTGATACTCTGCAGGTAACTGTACCCACAGTCATCCAAATTCTTCTCTGCTCTCAACTCAACTCAACCGCCCACACTGCTGTAGTGCGCACCTGTCTTTGGCGAGCTGGTGCACGTGTGTGAGCAGCGCGGCACAGAGCTCTGCATTGCGGCGCGACACGTGGAGGTCCGAGAACAGCACCCACCGCTGCACTCCCTCAAACGCTGCTGGCAGGGCGGGGGGGTCCTGGTTGGGGGACGGCGCACAGCGAGAGAGGAGGGGAGGTGGGTAGAGATGAGAGAGGAGAGGAGGCCAGGTGAGGCGAGAGAGTGACACAGAGGAGAAAGAGTGAGGTAATGCATGGCTGTATGGATTGATAGAAGCTTCTTGTGAAGCATGCCGTGCGAGCGCATGAGAGTGAGAGGGAGGAGGCAGGATGAGGTCATGCATGTGCATGGTGTAGAGTGTGGGGACAGACAGGCGCACGGAGGCGAGCAGCTGGATTGATACGAGCTTAGGCATGCAGTGGCGCATGGTGCATGCCATGGCGCATGGTGCATGCAGTGGCGCATGGTGCATGCAGTGGCGCATGGTGCATGCAGTGGCGCATGGTGCATGCAGTGGCGCATGGTGCATGCAGTGGCGCATGGTGCATGCGGGAGGCGGAGGATGAATGCGGGAGGCGGAGGGCGCGGAGCACGTACGAACAGCACTTGCTCACTCGCTCCACTCTCGCCCCCCACCTCCCTCTCCGCCCCACCCACTGCCACCCCTTCACCGCGCCACCTCTCTTCCCCCTCTCCCCTGCTCTCCCCCATCACTTCTGCGCGCGCTCCAGCGCCTGGCGATTCCGCCACCCTCTCCGCCACCCGTGCGCCCACCACCAAGCCCCGCCACCGGCTCTCGCTGCCTGCGCGCCAAGCCGCGGGGAGCAACCATCCTTCGCGGATGACGCTGCGGAGCGGCAAGCGCGGGCGGGGCAACCCGCGGTATACGCCCCCACCTGCCCCCCGCGAATCACCCCGGGCAAGCGGAGGCGGGCGGTGGGCAATCTGGGACGGAAGCGCGCATGGTGTGGGCGCGTGGGGAGCAGATGGGGAGCGCGCGACAGGGGCCGATGGCGGTGGGAGGGTGGCCCGGGCGAGAACGGCGGAGAGGACGGCGGAGGTGGCTGGGCGGCGCAGGGCGACGGCTCGATGGGCGGGGTGGGCGGAGCCCAACATCGCGGCGGAATGATCGTAACGATCGGAATGATCGAGGCGGAGGACGCCGCAATATTGGGGCGAATTACCTCGCAGGGAAGTATCCTCATTACAGAGATTACTGTATATTGGTGAAGTGTGAGATTGTCAACTATAGTAAAACCTGCATTATGTGCTCCACAAAGCAGGAATCTCTATGAATATTTGCACAGATTGTGTCGATCAATCCTTATCACTCAGCCCTCGTGAGACGATTGCTTTGCTGGGTAAGGAGATCCATGTAACGGATAAGCTTGTGCGTCAAGGTGCCACAAAAACACTTACGTACAAGCAGCCAAGACAAACACAAGCACAAGCAGTAAATAATATCTACCACTTATCATGTGGTTACAAACAAGGTACTAGGAGCTAGACATGGTCAGACGGCAGCAGCGGGGGCGGCTGCTCTTTGCTGGGAGGCGAGTGCGCTGATGGCCTCCCCTGCCTCACAGATGCGCGCTGCTGCCTTCCTGCCCGACAGAGTGGCGCCCTCCATGCTGTCTATGTAGTCCTGCCAGGGGGAAGAGTGGAAGGAGGGTGGTGGAGGGAGGTGGTTGTGAGAGGATGATGCGAGGGGGATGTGAGAGGGGGATGTTAGAGGAGGATGTGACAGGTGGATGTGAAGGGGATCTGGAGGATTACAGAAATAAGGATGGGTAAAGCGACCTGATGAGCGGGTGGAGCCACGAATGGAATGGGACACAGAGGGGGGAGCGGGGGGACAGGGGGCGTACCTGCTTGGTGTAGGAGCCGGCGAGGAAGAAGTTGGGGACGGGGGTCTTCTGGTCGGGGCGGAACTGGTCGAGGCCGGGAGCCTCGCGGTACAGCGACTGGTTTATCTTCACCACTGAGTGCCACAGCAGGGTTAGGCCCCGCGCTGATGGGAACAGATCCATCACCTGGCAAGGGCAGAGGGGGGAAGAGAGCAGGGGCAGGGCGAGGGGGAAGGAGGGGGGGGTGGTTGGTTTTAGGAGCAAGCAGGTGGAAGGCATCAGGAATGCATGCAGATTGAGGCGTGAGAATCAAGGCATCTAGACTGAGGCATGAGAAATGAAACATGTGGATTGGAAAAGTGTGAATCAAGGCATGTGGACTGAGGCATGCGGCCTAAAACACTAGCGGAAGTGGAATCCTGGGCACAGGTTGAATGAATGACCTGGTCGTTCATCTTGGCAACGATGGCCTCGTTGGTCATTGGCATGTAGGGGTCCGCTGGTGTGATCACCACCCTGCCGTGCAGCGACACGATTCAAGGAGGACGGGGTGAGTAGACGAGAGGAAGCACGCACAGGGGTTGCCAGGATGAGAAGATATTAGTTTGGCGAGTTTGAGATTGCATGGAGGGAAAACGAATTGATGGGAGCAATGTGGAACAGGGAGGGATGTGAGGGGCAGACCAAGCGAGACGAAGCAGTGCCCAAATAAGTTGCCCAGCATGGCCAGCACGACAAGCAAATAACGCATGGTGAGGATGGGCAAGGCAGGTGTGGGAGGGGGGGGGAGAGGGCGGTGGGGGTGGGGTACTGAGCACTGACTGCATGAGCGAGCCCTGGCCCTCCTTGTAGTAGTCATCGGGGCTCGTGAGCGCCAGGTCAGCAAAGCACGAGAAGTCGGCATCGGGTGAGTAGAGCAGATTGTCCAGCCCTGCTGCCCGCGCCAGCTGCCTGCAGGGGGGAACGAGGAGAACACAGGAGCAGAGGGCGGCAGTGGAGGGGTAGAGGCGGTTGTTGGCATGACCAGAAGCATGCTGCCCATGCACTGGCAGCACAAGGAGCGGATGGTGCAGGATGGGAGGGTAGAGGGAGGGCGCACCTGGATAGTTGGATGTCGTTCATCTCGGTGACCCAGCCATCGTAGCGCAGCTGCACGGTGATGACGGGCACGCCCACCAGCTCGTAGATGTCCCTGAACTGCCCCCACCGCTCCCTCCACTCCCCCGGCACCAGCCTCTTCGCCTCGGGCACGTCCAACGCTGTTGGTAGAAGGATGGGAGGAAACGAGGAGCAGCATGAGAGCGACCGGAGCGCTGACGCAAAGTACAGAGGCAGGACCAGAAAAATGCTTTGTGTGCTTGATTGAATGGCAGACAGGCATGCATCTCTCCTTGTGCCTTCCATTTGCAAAACCCAGCCCAGCCGGCAGGTCATTCCAGTGCACCAACCTGCCTCCCATGCACGCACCAGCAACATATGCATCTGCCGTCACAATTTGTTCCTTGCCTCCCGCCTGCCACGCAACACAGCAGGCAGCAGTGGATAGGGAAGGTAAAGGTTTGTGGCACATGGAATGATAGCCGCAATGAAGAGCGCAGTTGGCATGGAACAGAAACCAATGGACTCCACCATGCCACTGCCTACTCCTGCCCATTAACCACCCCCTTGCACCCGCATCTCCCACTTGCACCCCCTCTTCACCTGCTTCATGCGCAGGCCGATGACAACGGTGGAGCCATCAGCGGCGGTGGAGTAGAGCACCTCCTGGCACGGCTGCCGCACGTGGAACCTGCTCACGCACGGGGAGGGCCATGTGGACAGGACAGCACGGCAGTGCGGGTGAGCTCAAGCAAGCCACACCGTTTTTCATGCTCCCCTGCCAACCCGCCCACCTTCCCCTCCTCATCCTCCTCACTGCCCCAATGCTGGCCCTCCACAATCCATCGTCAAGGTGCTTGCTTACATTTCATCCCAACGCCTCCCAGCTGAGAATATTATTTGCACACTTCATAGAACTTCCACAGCTTCACTTCACTTTTTGTCTGTTGCTCTTCCACACTCCCCACAAATGCAAGCCTCCGCAGTCGGTTATGCCCGTGGCTCACCTGCCGCCACGGTCGGTGATGTATTTGGCTCACCTGCCCCCGCGGTCGGTGATGTATTTGGCTCACCTGCCCCCGCGGTCGGTGATGTATTTGGCTCACCTGCCCCCGCGGTCGGTGATGTATTTGGCTCACCTGCCGCCGCGGTCGGTGATGTATTTGGCGATGGGGCCGGCGAGGAAGCGGTCGGGGGAGCCGCAGAGCATGCGCAGCACGGAGGCTTCGGTCTTGGTGGCAAAGAAGGCGAAGATGGTGAGCATGCAGCGCGCACTGATGTTGTCGCAGCCTATGAACCCCAACGCGTACGCCACCGGGTCCCACATGCGCTTGATGCTCTCCCTCGTGCCGCCGTGCAACGTGAACCACTCGCTGAAGCTCACCTGCTCGCCCACATGCAGCACAGCGAGGCAGCACAGAGGGGCAGCGCAGGCAGATGAGGTCTGCGAATGACAGAAACGACAGCTATTGAAACGGTGGAAAGGAATGCAAACGAGCATGGCTCTCTCAGCAAGGTGAGGGAGCAAGGACTTGCATAGCCGAGGTGGGGGAGCGAGTGGGTGGGGTGGGGTATGGAGATGGAGGGAGGGGGAAGGAGGGGGGCGACGTGGGGAGCGGGGGAAGGGGAGGGACGGGGCGTGCCTTGTCGAGGTCGCGGATATCCTGGAAGGCGCCCTCGGGGTCCACCAGCGCTCGCACCACGGGGCTCGTCGCTAGTGCCAGCGCGTTGAACACCTTGTCCACCGGCTGCACCGCGCATGGGGGCGGGGGAGGATGCACGGCTGATGATGTGATGAGGAACCCAATGAATCATCAACCCCTGGAAGTCACCCATCATGGAAACAGAGGTGCCTGTCACTGTGCTGTGGAGCCTCACTGGCGAGTGGACTTAATCTATCAAACAAGGGTGCATTTCGGAATGACAGGCAGCAATCAGCGTGCAGTGCAGCGCCAGGGTGGTGGCGGGGAATGAGTGAGGCGTGATAGATATGCGCGAGAGGGGCGGCTGACCGAGAGCTGGTTGGTGGTGAAGAATGCCTTGAGCCCGTGGAAGGGCGCGCCCGTGATGAACCGGGAGTCCAGCTCTATGCACGCCATGCCATGCCACGCCATGCCATGCCATGCCATGCCACGCCATGCCATGCCATGCCACACGGACGCGTGGGGAGGGGGAGCGGGATGGGGGCAGGACGGTGAGGGGTTGAGAAAACGAGAGTTAAAAAAGAAACCAGCTGGATGGAGAGTGAAGAAAGAAAGCGCGTGTGTTGCCTGGAACAGCATCTCCAGTGCAAACTAGTGTGGGTGACGGCAGGGGTGGACGGCGGGCAGGGAGGGTCTCACCGCCAGTGACGCCGCCCTTGTTGATGAAGACGTGTGTGTGCTCCTTGCGCAGCAGGTTGTCCACCGCCCCGCTCTGCACACGCCACGGACCAGGGTGGGTACACAGATTCAGAAAGCTTATGTTTGACAATGGTGAGAAGTGTTTGGGCTACGAGTGGTTGGGCTGGTCTTGCCTTGGCCATGAGGCGAGAGGGGTCGCGCTTGCCTTGGCCATGAGGCGGAAGAGGGCGCGCTTGCCTTGGCCATGAGGCGGAAGAGGGCGCGCTTGCCTTGGCCATGAGGCGGAAGAGGTTGTTGTAGCAGCCGAAGAAGACGTGCAGCCCCATCTCGATGTGGTTGCCGTCCTTGTCTTGAAAGCTCGCCACCTTGCCGCCTATGAACGGCCGCGCCTCGTAGATGTCCACCTGCGCGCACCCAACACACCGCGCACTCCGTCCGCGCACGCACATCCCCCATGCACGCACATCCCCCACGCACATCCCCCATGCACGCACATCCCCCACGCACATCCGGTGCACGCCCGAGCATGGCATGTGTGGTTTTTATTAGCGTGAGAAACTGGTTTGAGCAACTTGAATGAGCAAGATTGCCACGCTACAGCGAGATATCACCACATGCGCCGTGCTTTCTTTTGGAAAATTGGGCCACAGCACTTAACAAGCGCCATTCCGTGCGTTCAGTTCAGCCGTTAATTTTCCCGACATTCCATCAGCTCACCTCGTGGCCCTGGTCGAGCAGCTCGGCGGCGGTGGACATGCCGGCGAGCCCCGCGCCCACGATGGCCACCTTGAGCTTCGGTCCCACATACTTCTCGGGCTCCGGCGGGAACAGCCCCTTGGGCGCTGCCATGCACCGAGGATGGGAAGGGGGGGAGGCAAGGGGAAGTAACAGGACTCAAACAAAATGCAGCGACACTAGTATTCTGGGTGGCGTGCGGAACAGCAACGCCGCGGAGTCATCACAAATTCGACTAGAGGCGCCGCAGCAGTGCGTACCCACTGGCCATTAGTTTTAACATATCGACCCCTATTTTGAAGGCCCTACTCGTACCGTACTCGCTGTGCTTATACCGCACCCGTTCGGCTCATACTGTACCAGCTAAATTCGGGTCGTATTCGCGCGGCTCGTACCCTACCCACGCTGCTCACATCCTACTCGCGCGGCTCATGTCATACCCGCGCGGTTCATACAATACCGGCGCGGCTCACATCTACCGGTGCGGCTCATACCCTACGGCGCGGCTGATATCCTACCGGCGCGGCTCATGTCGGAGACGTAGTCCATGATGGCGGACGCCCTCGTCACCGGCGGTGCCGCCGTCCTGCCGCTCGGCGCATTGAGCGGCCGCACCGCCACCTTCACCTGCCACGAGGGGAAGGATGGGATGCGAGTGAGGGGAGCTAGACAGCGGCGAATTGAGACAGCATGAAGCAGTGGAAGCACGACAGGCGAGGGTGGCTGGAGCCGAACGAAGCGATCGGTGGTCTACCTGCCGCGCAGCCAATAGGCGTCGCCCTCCTAGAAGAGGCTGCGGCCAGAGAGTCTGCAGCGCGGCGGGTTGAGCGAGGGCAGCCATGGCGGACGAGGTCGTGTTGGCGATGTGATGAAGGCTGCTGCTTTGCGAAACGCTGCTGGGTGGGGAGGGAGTGGGCGTTGTTCGTGCTTTTGGGGGTGTGGTTGAGTGGAATGCTGTTCTTGAAAGTGCAGTTTCAAAGGGATTTGGCCAGGAGGCTCATGTGGGAAGACCTTTCCACGTCACCCTCGGACATTGCGGTCGCTCGAGGATAACAGGTACGTGGCTGTGAGCCGCTCACGTGGCACCTGGAGAGCCCCGAGAACCAAAATATGAAGTTGTCACCTGAACAAGGTTGGTGAACCCATTAATTGTAATTACGTCTTATTGCGTACACTGAACTTGATGGGGCATTCGGTATGTGGCAGGTGAGTTATGGTCACTCTGCTTGGTCCATTGTTTAACCAATGCCTATAGGTTATACGGTATTTCTGGGGAATGTTTATAAAAACAAATACGGCACCACATCAGGACGCTGTATTATAGAATACCTACTACGGTAATCTTTGCATAAAAATGCACAATTGCTTGTCTTACACTATCATACTAATAGCCTGGACGAGATGGTGCTAGAACGCAGGAAGCAGGAGCCCATCTCATAGAGATGCATATATTTACAAGGTGCTCCTGTCCAAGCTCATACAAACTCCCAGTCCCACTCTTCTTCTGAAGGAGGAGCTTGACCTCCCAGCCCGCATGGGACAACGTCACCAACGCCTGCTGGAGATGAAGCTGGGAGATCGACGTGTGCAGGAGCCCTGGGTGGTTGAGGCAACCTCTTATAGGGAAGAGAAGGTCCCATGGGAGGAAGACATGGTGTGGTGGAGTTATGGGGGGCCACGTCTAACCAGCGTGCTGTGAACTCGCTTTGTGGCTGATTGGGAGTGTGCTGGAAGACTGCTGTGGCCGCGAGGGGGCTGGGACCAGCTGCAATCTGCTGCAGAGGAGGTGGGGTGTGGCTGCTCAACTCCGCAAAGACCTGCACAGGCAGTGCAGTGCAATGAAGGCACAAAGTGGTAAAAATACAGTGGAATGCAAACAGAAGGATTGGTTCAGAACCCAAAGAAACAGAATGACGTGGTACTAAGCTGCAGTTGAGAGAACGGGCAGCCATATACTGTCCAGATCCGGACTTGGCCGCTTTTCTGCCATCAGATGCTGAGCTTGTATGCAATCAAGCATGCTTCATGACTGCCGTCGCATGCTTCATGACTGTATTTGCATGCGTCATGACTGTATTTGCATGCTTCATGACTGTATTTGCATGCTTCATGACTGTATTTGCATGCTTCATGACTGGATTTGCATGCTTCATGATGTATACACGTACCTCGTCGACGCTCACCTCGATGGTGCTCACCTCGTTGGTGCTCACCTCGTTGGTGCTCACCTCGTTGGTGCTCACCTCGTTGGTGCTCACCTCGTTGGTGCTCACCTCGTTGGTGCTCACCTCGTTGGTGCTCACCTCGTTGGTGCTCACCTCGTTGGTGCTCACCTCGTTGGTGCTCACCTCGTTGGTGCTCACCTCGATGGTGCTCACCTCGTTGGTGCTCACCTCGTTGGTGCTCACCTCGTTGGTGCTCACCTCGTTGGTGCTCACCTCGTTGGTGCTCACCTCGTTGGTGCTCACCTCGTTGGTGCTCACCTCGTTGGTGCTCACCTCGTTGGTGCTCACCTCGTTGGTGCTCACCTCGTTGGTGCTCACCTCGTTGGTGCTCACCTCGTTGGTGCTCACCTCGTTGGTGCTCACCTCGTTGGTGCTCACCTCGTTGGTGCTCACCTCGTTGGTGCTCACCTCGTTGGTGCTCACCTCGTTGGTGCTCACCTCGTTGGTGCTCACCTCGTTGGTGCTCACCTCGTTGGTGCTCACCTCGTTGGTGCTCACCTCGTTGGTGCTCACCTCGTTGGTGCTCACCTCGTTGGTGCTCACCTCGTTGGTGCTCACCTCGTTGGTGCTCACCTCGTTGGTGCTCACCTCGTTGGTGCTCACCTCGTTGGTGCTCACCTCGTTGGTGCTCACCTCGTTGGTGCTCACCTCGTTGGTGCTCACCTCGTTGGTGCTCACCTCGTTGGTGCTCACCTCGATGGTGCTCACCTCGATGGTGCTCACCTCGTTGGTGCTCACCTCGTTGGTGCTCACCTCGTTGGTGCTCACCTCGTTGGTGCTCACCTCGTTGGTGCTCACCTCGTTGGTGCTCACCTCGTTGGTGCTCACCTCGTTGGTGCTCACCTCGTTGGTGCTCACCTCGTTGGTGCTCACCTCGTTGGTGCTCACCTCGTTGGTGCTCACCTCGTTGGTGCTCACCTCGTTGGTGCTCACCTCGTTGGTGCTCACCTCGTTGGTGCTCACCTCGTTGGTGCTCACCTCGTTGGTGCTCACCTCGTTGGTGCTCACCTCGTTGGTGCTCACCTCGTTGGTGCTCACCTCGTTGGTGCTCACCTCGATGGTGCTCACCTCGTTGGTGCTCACCTCGTTGGTGCTCACCTCGTTGGTGCTCACCTCGTTGGTGCTCACCTCGTTGGTGCTCACCTCGTTGGTGCTCACCTCGTTGGTGCTCACCTCGTTGGTGCTCACCTCGATGGTGCTCACCTCGTTGGTGCTCACCTCGTTGGTGCTCACCTCCTCGATGTCTGGAATGCACGCATCGTCCTCATCCTCCTCGCTGCCACCCCCTCCTTCTGTCCCCGTCACTGTCTCGGACTGCTGCTGGTCACTGTCTGTCGCTGCTGTGGTGTTCACACAAGAGGCTCCAGCTTCATTGTCAGTGCCGTCAACGCCAGCTGGAGTGCGAGTATCGCCCCTGTCAGCTACCGCCATGACCCTCGTCCCACTGAGCACCTCGCCATTACTCTCACCACTTCCCTCTCTTGCCTCACTCCCCAGCAGTACCTCACTCCCCGGCGGTACCTCATTCCGCGGAGGTGCTTCATGCCCCTGCAATGCCTCATTGCTCCCTCTTGGCCCACCCCCACCTGCTGTCTCACTGCTACTGCTTGCCAGCATCGCCGCTGCCTCTCCTTGCACTGCTGATGCGCCCCGTGCAGCCCACTCCCCCGCCACCTCCCCTCCGCCCCCAACCCCATCGCCCATCTCCGTGGCAGCAGCAGCAGCAGCAGCAGCAGCAGCAGCAGCAGCAGCAGCTGCGTCCGCTGCCACCTGCTCAACGCCCACCAGCCGTGCCTGTGCTGGCTGTGGCTGTGGTGGTGACGGTGGTGGGGGCGAGGGCGATGGCAGCACAGGCAGAGGTGGAGCAACACACACCAAGCTTGGCACACACGGATCGCACCACAACGGCGCCACAACCCCTTCCTTGTTCACGTCGCCTTCGCCTGCACACTGCCCTCCCTCACTCCCCTCTTGCGCTGCCACATCCACTCCACTCTGCCCACCTGCGCGGCCACCACACTCTTCTGCTCCTACCTCTGCCGCCCCCAACCTCTGCTTTTTGCTGCCCTCTCCTCCTTCCCCGTTCCCTCCCTTCTCACAAGTATCCCGTGCAGCGACCTCAGCCTGCACGCCCCCAGCCATCACGCCTGCAGCAGCGCCAGATCGACCAGAGGGCGGGCGAGGGCCAGCACTCGCCTTGACGCCGCTCCCCTGTGCCTCCCCTGCAGCGCCAGGCAGCAGTGCATCCAGCTCGCCCACCATCTCTCGCCACTCACCCATCGCCTCCTCCTCCTCCTCCCCCTCCCCCTCCTCCTCCCCCTCCCCCTCCTCCTCCCCCACCGCACACTCATCGTCATCCCGTGCTGCTCCCTCCGCCCCCACGCATGCCCCGTGCACGCCCGGCCCCGTCCCACCAGGCACGCTTACCTCCACCCGCCGCCTCACCGTGCCAACCTTGACCCGCACTGCCGCCACTGTGCCCTCTGTTCCGCCCCGCTCTCTCTCACCCTCCACCACTCCTGCCAAACCGCCTCGTCCTCCTGCCATGGCCCGCGCTTCAACCGCGCCCTCACATGCCGCGTAGCCTCTCCCTGCTCGCCGCACCACACTCACGTCCCCACTAGCAGCAGCTGCTGTCGCGACCCCCACTGTGACCGCGCTCTCGCCCTCACCGCAGCCCCCCCTGGCGGGTGAACTCGCCCTCCTGGCGGCAGGCACCGCCTCTCCCCCTTTTCCAGCCAAGGCAGCTGAGGCAGGCGGAGCAGTGCCGCCCGGAGTAGCACCCAGAAGGCCGGGCTGGGAAGGCGCGGGAGAGGCGCGTTTTGACGCGGTGGAGGGGGGAAGAACTGGGGCGGAGAGGAAAAGAAACGAGGCAGGTTTAGGCACTCGGATGTGAGAGCAGGGACGGCAGCGGAGTGGGCATGAGAAGCGCAGGGTAAAGAGCAACATCACTCACCAGCTCTCACTCCACCACTGTGCGTGCCGCCTCCTGTGCCACGCCCGCCTCCCCCTGCCCCTCGCGCGTCCTTCGACCTCCCCGCTGCTTTGGAGCTCCCCTCTGCCGCGCTGCAGGCCGACACGCGCTTGCGCGCACCTGGGTGAGGAGCGACATGGATCGGCGCAGCAGCAGCAGCAGCAAGCGTCTTGGCAGTAGCGGCGGGGGCGGGGGCGGCAGGGGCGAAGAGGTCGTCGTCGTCCCAGGCGGGCACGAAGAGGTCGCGCACCAAGTCGCCGCACAGCTGTCGCACGCCGCTGCCCACCTGAGCGACGGACGACTCCACCATGTGCGACGTCTGCGACACACGGGCGACCGCCAGGAAAGGGTAGTAGGCAAGGAAGGTGAGGAGAAAATGCTAAGAATGAGACGCATAGATAGATATTGAGAAAGGGAAGCGAGATGAATGTAGGGAAAAATATTATAGGTAACAAACGCGAGTTATATCGACAAGAAATAGTACACGTGCAACCTTTTGCGTCCAATGGAACGAAAAGGTAATGGAATAGTAAAAAAAGAGTCACGAAACTGATAAGGCGGGTGAGGCAAAGCAGGGAAGCACAACTGAGAGGGAAGTAAGGTTTCAATGGAAGAGAACGGCAAATAAAGAAAGCATCGAAGCCAGTGAAAGAAAACCTGGGTTAAGAAGGATGGGGAGCTGTCGAAGTCAACTTCTAAGAATGACTCGAGCCTCGAATTCAGCTTCTCTAGCCACGCCATGCTTGCACGAGACTAATAACTCTGTACAAGAGCCAAACATGAATGAAGCTCGCGCTCTTGTTCTGCAAAACACTGTGCAAATGGAGGTTGAATCATTTGGGTTTGTGGTGCGAGCGAAGAGAGGAGAGAGGAGAGGGGAGGGGTGCAAGTGAGCAAGCACATGAGGAGTTCTCCGAGGCGTGGCGGGGGAGGACGCAATGCAGCACTGCGCTTCAAAGGAAGGCGGTGCCTGCCTGTCAAGGCGGCGCAACGAAGGAACGATTGGCACGAGGGTGGCGATGAATCCCGAGTCTCGACAATGTGAAGTTGCGAAAAGGATTACTCTCGCTGATGCCCCCCCACAACTAGTGGTGGCGACAACCCAAGCCCAGCGATTTCAGCTGAGTTACCATCTTCCTTATCCATCCAATGAGCGTACAGCCATGTCATGGTGCATCGAATGTCACATCAACCGTGGACCACGTCACCAGGGATTCTTGCCAAGTGAGTATCAAAGCGGCGGAAACATCGAAGCAAGGCCCGAACCTCGAAAGACTCGCCGTAACATTACTTCCACTGACGGTAGAGTGTTACGAGTTGTAAAGATGTTATGAATGAACTTTCAGAGTGCGCAGGATAACGGACAACGAGATTATGAAAATGAATATGACATCGTCTGCAAATGAAAATGACATCCTCGAGCTCTCCGCCATGGCTGCCTGACACCAGCATGGACCGCACATTGCGTGAAGCCTGTTTATCAGTTGGCTTTAATTTCACCAGCATTGAAACCGCTACAGCGCTACGAAGAAGATTATATAACTTATGTATTCATCAGGCGAACAATTTATCGTCTTCTCTTGGGTGCTCATCGCAGGTTCAAGTAACTAAGCTCAAGGCTAACGCGCGGTTCCCAGGGTTATGTGCTGTCATACCGACAACCTCTAAGCAACTCTCCATTGGCTGCAATGATATCATACAGCGGGATGACCCCGAAGTCTCATCCTCGGCCTGGCATCATTTGTGCCAAGAGCAATGGTCTAAGGCTATCGCTTAGTTACTACTTAATGGTGTCGTGCTCAATGTTAGAGGGCCCTACGACAGCAAGGGGGCTCGCGACGTGCTTGACTCGGCACAACGTTGAGACCAAGACTATCATGGAAAGACACAAACGCAAGGAGTGCGCTGATGTCGTGCGACTACGGCAGCACCAACGAAGTCGTTGTTGGGGTGGTGCTAGCTTAGGAAATTCGTGGCTATGCTTCTAAGGAAGTGCGTACTCGTCGAGGGAAGTTGTGGGTAGTTCTTGGTGAGTCTCGCCTGTCAGAACTATGCATATATGCTCTAGGCTGTAGTGGGGCACTCCTTATGGGGTACAGCCCAAATTAGGTTTTTTTCTATACAAACCTTGTACTGCTCTCTTTCTAGTCATTCTTTCCTTCTCATTTCTGACATGGTTTCAGAGCAGGTTCCCTAGTGGGAACGTTTTTTTTAGGGCCCACCACGATTTTTTGTTTCCTGCCCTGCCCGAAGCGCGCCTCGTGCCTGCCTCACCTGCACCATCGCGCGCCCTGCCCTACTGCCGCCCGTCGCGGCCCTGCCCTCCCGGCCCGTCGCAGCCCTGCCCTAACGGCCCGTCGCGACCCTGACCTTGCCGCCCGTCGCGGCCCTGCCCTGTCGCCGCCCGTCGCGGCCTGACCTAGCCGCCCGTCGCGGCTTGACCTAGCCGCCCGTCGCGGCCCTGCCCTGCCGCCCCAGTTGCGGCCCTGACCTCGCCGCCCGTCGCGGCCCTGCCCTGCCGCCACCCGTCGCGGCCCTGCCCTCAGCCGCTTGTCGCGGCCCTGCTCTACCGCCGCCCCGTCGCGGCCCTGCTCTACCGCCGCCCCGTCGCGGCCCTGCCCTGCCGCCGCCCAGTCGCGTCCCTGCCCTGCAGCCGCCTTGTCGCGGCCCTGCCCTGCTGCCGCCCAGTCGCGGCCCTGCTCTGCCGCCGCCTCGTCGCGGCCCTGCCCTACCGCCACCCCGTCGCGGCCCTGACCTAACCGCCAGCTGCGGCCCTGCCCTGCACCCGCCCCTGGTAAGCGCCCGCCTGCCTGCCGCGCTGCGCCGCCCAGCCGAGCCGCGCCGCCCAGCCGAGCCGCGCCGCCCTACCGAGCCGCGCCGCCCTGCCGAGCCGCGCCGCCCTGCCGAGCCGCGCCGCCCTGCCCTACTGAGCCGCGCTGCCCTGCCCGCGCTGCCCCTGCTACTACAGCTGTTACTGCTGCTACTGCTGCTTCTGCTGCTACTGCTGCTACTGTTGCTACTGCCGCCATGGCTAGCCCTAATGTTCTTACCTTTGATGCTGAGGGTCGTGCGGTTGACTTCGACGTTTGGGTAGATGACCTGCAGCTCTTTCTTCAGTGCGACTCTAGGGACGGAGTCTCGCTTTTCGATCACACATCCGGCGTCTCTGCTGCACCTGCTGCCACTGCTGACAGTACGGTTCGCTCGCAGTGGACTACTCGTGACGCTGTTGCTCGCCTTGCTGTTCGTAGTCACCTGCCGTCTGCTGAGCGCGCACACTTTGGCCAGTACAAGACTGCTAAGTCTTTGTATGACGCTGTCGTAGCGCGCTACTCCTACCCTGCCACTGCTGCCCTCAGTCGCATCATGCTGCTGTACCTGTTCCCTGACCTGGCCGCCTTTCCCACAGTCGCTGACCTCATTACTCACCTCCGCACTAGTGACGCCTGCTACCGCGCTGCGCTTCCCTCCGAGTTCTGCGCCAAGAACCCCCCCCCCATGTACATCACCCTCTTCTACCTAGTCACCCGTCTCCCTGACTCTCTTTGCTCAGTCAGGGACCACTTTCTCTCCCTTTGCCCCACCGAGCTCACCGTCGACCTGCTAGAGGAGCGCCTCACTGCAGCTGAGAAGAGCACAGTTGCTGTAGGTGCTTCTCGTGGCGACCCTCGCGCCCCTTTCTTTGAGGGGTGTTCCCCTGTTCCCCTTCTGCCCTCTGTTGCTTCTGCTGCTGCTGTCGACCTCGTTGGCACTGAGGAGGTCGGGGCTGCGTCTGCTCCTAGTGGGAGGCGCCGCAGCGGCAAGGGCAAGGGGGGCAAGGGTGGTGGAGGGGACGGCGGGGGCGGCGGTGGAGGCGGTGGAGGAGGCGGAGGGGGTGGCGGTGGAGGTGGGGGTGGTGGCGGGAGTGGGGGAGTCGGTAGCGGCGGTGGAGGTGGTGGAGGCAGCGGCAGCGGTGGTGGAGGCATCGGCAGCGGCAGTGGAGGTGGCGGCGGCGGTGGTGCTGGTCGAGGTTGAGCCGCACAGCGTGGAGGCTTTGGCGGTAGCCAGCGCCAGCAGCAGCCGCGTTCCCGTGAGACCCCGTCACCCCAGCAGCTTCGTGAGTGGTACGCTGGGCGTGGGAGGTCTGGGGGTGCTGGTCCCTGCACTTACTTTCTCCGCACCGGCGGGCGCCGCGGGGAGACGTGCGGACTGCCACACACTACGGAGCGCTATTTCGGTCGCCTGACTGACGCCTGGCGCGCCCAGTTTCCTGACGCCGTTGAGCTCCCTCGCTGGGGTGATCTGCTTAAGTCTGGTGTTGCTATCTTTGATATTGATTTCGATGCTATCCTTGCTGCCATGTATGCTGTGACTGATAGTGCTGAGGGTGACTGTTACCTGTGTGTTCCGCCCGACCCGGGCATTGAGGCTGCTGCTCTAGGTGCTAGTGAGTCTGCTGCTCCAGGTGCTAGTGAGTCTGCTGCTCCAGGTGCTGGTGAGTCTGCTCTCTCTGGTACTGCGCCTGCTGAGGCCTTGCACACCTTCACACTTGACTCAGGTGCTTCCCGCTCCTTCTTTCGCGACAGCACCACACTCACGCCGCTCAGTCGGCCGGTTGCAGTCTCCATGGCGGACCCCTCTGGGGGCCCAGTCCTTGCGCACTCCTCCACAGTTCTGCCGTGTCCGGCGGCCCCGTCGGGCTCACTGTCGGGTCTTCACCTCCCCTCGTTCTCTACGAACTTGGTGAGTGGAGCTGACCTCCAGGACGTGTGGGTTGACCAGTTCACTCCTGGAGGTCAGCGTGTGACCCACTGTACGTGCACTCGGACGGGCCGCCACCTGGCCACGTTCACCCGTCGGCCTGGGTCGAGCCTGTACACACTGACTACTGAGTCTCCTCCAGTTGCTGCGTCTGGTCAGGTAGCCGCGTCTGGTCAGGTGTTTGCTGCCGCGTCCAGGTCTGGTCCGGAGTCTGCCCCCTGCTCGTGTCGTACTCTGTCACACGAGACTCTCCTTTGGCACCACCGCCTTGGTCACCCCTCCCTGCCTCGTCTCCAAGGTATGGCCTCCCGTACCCTTGTCTCTGGTCTCCCCCAATCTCTCCCTCCCCTCCCACCGGGGCCTGCCCCTACCTGCGTTCCTTGCGTCGAGGGACGGCAGCGCGCCGCTCCTCACTCCTCCGAGTTCCCTCCGATGGAGGCTCCCCTGCAGACTCTCCACATGGACGTGTGGGGCCCAGCCCGCGTCCGTGGACAGGGTCACGAGCGTTACTTTCTGCTGGTCGTTGACGACTACTCGCGTTACACCACAGTCTTCCCCTTGCGCCGCAAGGGTGAGGTCACTGAGGTGTTGATCGACTGGATCCGCCCTGCCCGTCACCAGCTCAGCGAGTATTTCGGCTCGGACCTTCCTGTTCTGCGTCTGCACTCCGATAGAGGTGGTGAGTTTTCCTCCGACCTTCTGCGGGCTTTCTGTCGTGCGGAGGGCATCCGCCAGACGTTCACGCTTCCGGCCTCCCCACAGCAAAATGAGATTGCTGAGCGCCGCATTGGCATGGTCATGGACGTCGCTCGCACGTCCATGATCCATGCGGCTGCTCCCCATTTTCTGTGGCCGTTCGCGGTCCAGTACGCTGCGCATCAGCTCAACCTCCAGCCTCGTGTCTCCGTGCCGGAGACCACACCTACTCTGCGGTGGACGGGGAAGGTTGGCGATGCGTCTGTGTTCCGTGTCTGGGGATCTCGAGCTTTTGTCCGCGATTC